CCAAAAATCTACGAAGGTACAAGCGTATAATAATATTTTTTAATTTAGTTACGCTCTAAATGAAGTTTGCTCTTAATTGTAAATAGTATTAAAAAAGAACAAGAAGAAACATTTCTTTTTTTAATGCATAAAGTTAGTTTTTGTTTACTCACTTGTGAAGAAAGTAGTTAAAAATTGTCATCTCGCTATATCTTAACCTTCAATTTTTTTTTAAATAGTTAACAAAAACTTTAAAAAATGATGTATACAACGTAGCATTCAGAATTTAGTCAACTTCGGCCTTTGCCCTCGGGTACTCAACAGTTTTCATCTATGAGTATTTTATACCAAACTGCGATAAAAACATATTATTGTTTACTAAGGAAATTACTACAAGTGGAAACATATTTCTTTCTTAATTATAATTAGTGCAATTTTCCTAAGAATAGGTATAAAAAAAAGTTTAATTTAAAATCCTAAAAATCTAAAGTTCCAAAAAGTAAAATTTTCGAATTTAATGTTTCTGAAATTGTCTGTAACGTCAGTGAAATAAAAAAGTCAACCAAAATACTCTGTAAAAAAGTATTTTTTTTAGATTCATGTGACGTCAATCGAAATCGTCTGTAAAGTTCACAAAGTAGTCAGTAAAAAGTGCAATGTTGGTTGCCTAGGATTTGCTTTAATGCTTTGTTATACAAATAACAATTTTTCTATATTTTCAAAAATTATTTTTGTCGTGCAAATGGAAGCAAAAATGAATGTTATCATGAGCGGTAATATGCTTTTCCACTTTAAATTTTATCAACTAAATATCCACAAAAATGTAGTTTATGTAAACGAAAAGTAAAGAACCCATGATTAAATAGTACATTACAAGCGAGGTGGTAAGTTTGTATGTTATTTTATTCACAATCACATTATTTTCAGTCAAAATTTGAGTAAAATAAAATTCTAACAAAGTTAAGGTCCAAACGTGGTAGGCCATCCAAATGGCGTTTGATTTTTGACATTTCAGAAATGTCAAAGAAAATATTGAAATAATGTGTGAATCTGATTTAAAATCGTCGAAATGGAGCAGTGTACTCTCCCAGAAGTAAGACAAACTGCTACAAAAGCAATTGAACACTAATTTAGCAAAATATTATGCGTAACTTGACAATTTGGAAAAAAAAATTCCCGGTATTTTTGTAATTTTAAGGTTGGCTATCCTGCATATTACCGTCCAAGAGAAATGATATTACTCCTCATGAGATTTAAAGATTGTTTCCCATAAAACTTATTATTCACATACAACTCGGACTGTCGCTCTCGTGTATTAAACGTCCCGATAGTAGATAAAAAGTGTCTAATGATTATTTGTAGTGTATTATTTGAAAGTTCTCGACTTTGATATTTATTTATCAAAATTATTGTTTTCCAGTCATGAAAATTACCAAGAAGAGAAATATTGTTTCTTTCGTTTTTCAATAAATGCAATTTCGGCAACAAGTGAAAAATCTTCTAAGTCAACAAGAATTTGAATTTACATTTTTATTCTGATGTTTCATTAAAGGTTTTAAGTTTACATGAAATTTTGATTTTCTTCGAAAGTTTTCTACTTTGTTATTCATTTATCAAAGTTATTGTTTTCAAGTCATGAAAATTACCAAGAAGAGAGTTTGTTTTTTTCGTTTTTCAATAAATACAATTTCAGCAACAATTGAAAAATCTTCTAACTCAGCAAGAATTTGAATTTACATTTTTATTATAATGTTTCATTAAAGGTTTTAAGTTTACAGGAAATTTTGATTTCTTCTCTTAAGACAAAAATAAAGCAAAATTGCAAAAATACCGTGATTTCCTCCCTCGAGGAGGAAATTCTATTACCTTCCCCATATCCTTTCATTAGATTTAAGAATGTGGCAGTAACATTTTAATTGTTGCATACTTGCGGAGTTATTTTAATGAAATTACTTGACCATCCATGTAGATTAATTTCGGAGCTCGGTGTGGGAAGCCAGAAAATAACTCCACCAGACCTTAAAAAGTTAGTATTTTCTCCATGTGAAATGTCAATTATTTTCCCTCCCGGCGCCAAGTTAACAACTTCCTCCATTGCGCGGCAAAAACAAATATTAAACGTAATAAAATCTTTGATAAAAATGTATCTCGTTCGTTGCATTGACCTTGTTAGCACCTCGCCGAAGAGATTAATACATGCGGTGAATCAGGATGTAGTTATTGCAATAATCCGATACAAGGCTGCGTCGTGTCGAGGATTCGCCCACAAACAATCATCTCGCCACGCCCACGATTCGGTGAACTTCGACCTTAAAACCGCACAATTCCATTTCTGGAGCCAGGGGTCGTCCGTCTCACTGCACCCTTTTTTGCTCCTCACCTTGAATATTAAATCGCATTGTTTCAACTATCGACGATTTTTTTTTCTTCTTGACTGCCTCTTCACTGTCCCATGTCCGGTGTGTCCGGTTGAAGATTTTCTTTCCCAAGGAAACGGATATTTACGCGCATATAGCACGATTTAATTTACTGTCATTTGACGAGATTACAGAGTCGCGGCGGGTAATTGATTCGTTTTTGTGGATGTGGCGAGGAAAGAACACAGGTCGTGGCCTTAAACTTTGCTTTCTGGGCTTTCTATTTCAACACCATCTTTATATTAATTGCTATTTTCCTGGTACTAGTTTTTGTCGCCGTTTTATTGATATTGATTTAAATGGAAGCGGTCAAGCAAGAAGGCATAGAATGAGAAACAAAGAAAAAGAACTAGAAAATTACTCAACAGTTTTCTTGCTGTTGGACGTTGCAACGACCACAAACCATAAAAAGGACTTTATAAGATAAACTATTCCAAGATAAAGGAAATAAAATGCCACATTCTCAGGTGTTTGACACAAAAATAAATAAATACAATGCTGAACTGCAAATCCATTTTTCACTGATTTAAGACTATTGCTCAGAATTTTAGGTTTACAAAAAATAAAAAATGACCAATCTGTGGATGGAAAATTTCAACTTTATAATAGTCATGTATGTGCCAATGGAATAAGGAATGTTTAAAGCCCGACGTTAGGAGGGCTTTTAATATCATGAGGGCTATAATCGACAATTATTATGCCTGTGGTTTTATTGTAATTTGAATTCCATTTTGCTACTCTGGAATAAGTATTTAATATTTCCGGTGAATTTCGTATGTTATAAAAAAAGCCCAAGGTCTAATAAAAGCCATAATTATGCCCGCTTTTGATAGGTGCTCAGAAACAAGTGTGTACAGATGCGCCAGAACTCGCGCCCCAAAGAAACATACATTATAAAGTAAGATACCAAAAACATGGAAAAAATGTTAAAAAAATTCTATCTATAAAAATTTCACAGAATGTGAGTTTAAATTTTGCACTTTGACTCTATTTGTTTCTGTTGGAGAATAATTTTCCAAGTTTTGTTGCTACAGGCTATTAGAAGAGGAAACAATGAAGCTGCATCCTAAATTAAATATGCTAAATACAGGGTGCGCCAGAACTCACGTCCCAGAGAAAAATGCCATATAAGGTGAGATACCAGGAACATGGAAAAAATGTTAAAAAAATTTCATCTATAAATATTTCGAAGTTATGAGAGTTTAAATTTTGCACTTTGATTCTATTTATTTCTGTTGGAAAAATAATTTTCCAAGTTAGGCTATTATAAGAGGAAACAAGGAAGCTCTATCCCAAATTGTAACTCTGTTTAATGTTATTTATAGCTGTTTTTGCCAAAATTTTTGTACTTTTACTAAATAATTGTAAAAAAATTTATACAAGATCATCAATATGATTATTTAATCATGTCTATTTAGACATAAAAATATCAAATGTCAAAAAATAAGTATCAAAATTTTTTGACAGAAATTTTTTTAAACATTTTGTCCATGTCCCTGGTATTTTATCTTACTTGAAATTTTTCTCTAAGGGGAGTTCAGAAACACCTTGTATAAATACAAAATGTCCGAAAAACAACGTTGAAAGATTTCAGTGGATAGTTCTCTAGTTCAAAATAAGAAAAACGGTTCCTGTGAGTCTATAAAACGTTTCAAAATGATTGGCATCTCGGCCGGCGTTGAGACTATAAACTAGACTTTAATTTTAGTTCCAAAAAAGTTATTGAACAAATTTTAGATCGCGATACGTCATAAAATAACATTTCTGTTGAATTCTGTCTGAAAAAATAACATAAAATAAGTACAAAAGGGGAAGGGTTGAGAATTGAATCGGCGAAAAAGATGGACATTTACTGAATGGATGTGATATTTCTATTGAAAGAAAGCAGGATAAGCAAAAACTATTATTTATTAACTAGTAGTGGAATTTAAAGTTATATTTTTTTAAATAAATTTCCAAACATTAATCTTTTTATTGGAAACTTTGAAAAATTCTCGTTCTCTTTGAGTGAGATGAGGTAAAGCTTGTCCTGGCATTGTTAAACTCAAATAAATACCCAGAAACATTTGTCTTGAAAAAGACAGGTTGTTTAGAAAAAATAAACGTGGAACAGAAGAGACAGTAGGAGAAAAAAAAAGCACAAAATCTAACGACAACTGGCGCTGTAAAAGTTTTATTTATACCTCGATTTCAAAAATTAAAAAATAAATTAAAAGGCTTGTAAAACATGTATTTTTGAACTTTTTACATTAAGTAAGTAAGCGATTAAAATAATATAATTTTTTGGGATTACTGCTTTTTTTATTGTATAAGTGTTTTAGAAAGCATTTGATCCATGCAAGAATTTTTAAACACAAGGGCGTCAGTCCGAGTGTTAAATATTGCAACCTCTCAGGGAGGTAAAAATTTTACTTCCCCCATAGAAACGAAACAACATGATTTAATAACGGAACTCAGGAGAGATTGTTAATTTTTAAGTTTTTCTTACTGGATCGTAGAAAAAATTATATGTACTAACTGGGTGGTTAGTCTCGGGCAGTAACTTCCACCTGTAGGAAGAAAAAATACACTTTCCTCTCTTGTAACACAATTTTATTCAAAGAACTTTATAAAATATAAAACACACGTGAGTTATGAGTTGTGACGTCATAATAAATTCGAAATCGAATTCGAAGTTATACTTTCATAATATGTTGATGTGGATTAATTAAATTTTAAAAACAATTTAAAATTTTTTACTTAAAAACAAAACCTTCCTCATGCCTTTTATTATAATAAATATCTGCAATGAGCTAAATACTCGTAATGAAAAAGTGTCGATTTGAATATAGTGTTTTTAACTGATTTGGCCTTTTGCGTTTAAACGTATATTTATGTTGCTTTGAGCAAGTTGATGTAAGAGTAGGCAGTTTGAAGAACCTAAAAAAGAAAATAAAAAAATATATTAAACAGGATTACATACCCCTAAGAGCATTACGTAAGACAAATAAGAAAACGGTCCGGCATAAATAAGAATGGGTCTTCGAGCTCGAATAATAATCATAAGCAAAGCCTTTTGAAAAGCAACGTCTTTTTCGTACCATACGCTATGATACGCCAAATCTCCAACAGATAAACACTACAACAAAGAATTCATTTTGAATTTCCAAAAGACGGGTAATACCGTATCAAGCAAACGTTGACCACAGACACATAATATTCCAATAGATTGTAACCACCCCAAGAAGAGGAATATTGAACCATGACTAGATAAGCTCTGGAGTCAAATGTTGGAAAATTGTTGTAAAATATTTGTCGAGATTTACCTGCATCATGGAAATCCCACAACAGCTAAAAAGTATACCAACACATAAAACAATAACTGATAAACTGTAGCGATATGTGTCGGTCATTAATTGTCCAATGTCGAAAAGGTGCAAATGATAATTGACCCACATTTTCAATTTTTCCTGCCTCATTGCTATGTCGTCCTCATTTATAACATCTGAGAACATATCTTTCAACTGTTCGATTCTTATAATCAAATGTTCCATTGTTTCAATAATGGTAAACGACATAACACCCGCGCATCCCAGATTTACAAAACAAGAACAAGTCTCCCAAATTATAACCACTTGCTTCAGCGGAAATTCACTGTAGTCGAAAGGGGCCCAAACATTAGACACCACTCCACAAACTTTCGTTCGGTTCGTTTCTTGATTGATCTTTTCACAAGATTCCGAAAAAATAACTGGGCAAAGAAGAACACCACCAATGCAAACAGTTAGAACGATGATACAGTACTTCAAAAAAAAACTAAGTTGTCTGTTGCGTTTATCAAAAAAGCGCGGTTGTCCAAATTTTGAAAAATCAGAGAGCAAGGCTACTATTTTGACCATTCCTTCACGTTTCCACATAAAAAGGGCTATAAAATATAATACTCCGAATTGACTAGTTATCGTTTCGATGGTATCTATATCGTCGCTACCTGAGAAAAATTGACAAAATTGGGGTTCACTGGCACGAAACTTACCAAATTTTCGATAAACCACCAAGTAACTAACGCTTCCAAATAGAAGAAAAGAACTTAAAAAGAGAATGAAGTAAGGCAGGATTTTGGAGGATTTTTTTGTTTTTGGCCAAAAGCTCATAAAGGTTAAAAAGGCAATAGTTTCTTTCATTAAAACGTGCCCCATTATGTCGGACAATATTAGTCTTTCTGACTGAAGTAATAATTCTATTGCTGAAACTTTGTTTCAAACCTTTTTATTTAATATTCAATAACGACTTCTGATAACTAAAATATTTTTTAAATAAGGTAATGATGTATTCCGGTTGAAACTATTCCAACTATTATAAAATAGCGAAAAGAAAACCACACAGGTGTAAAATTCTCACGTTTTGTGTCGTTGCATGCCAATTAATCCAATTATAGTTTAATATTTATAACCAAAACTAGTATATTCAACATCTTTTAAGACAAAATGTGAAATAAAAAATTAAATAGGTCGTTGCATGCTACTAAATGACTACTAATGACATATTTGCTCACTTTAACATCTGTTCTTCACAACCTATATCTTAAAATCTTTAAAAACGAATAGTTAAATTTATATTTAAAACACCAAATGGCCTATATTTTTAGATACTACTTTGCTTGTATAATTTTGTATCAATTTTTTAAATTAAATACTTTAAATTACTTTTTAATAAACGCAATAAGTTTTCTATTTAAAATACTGAAGTTGATACCCATTTCCGGTGTAACCGGAAGTGCCGCCATTTTGAAAATATTTGATCAGGACCTAAGCGATTGTGGCTATATAAATTTTAGGTAAATATCATTGTTAGAACTCCCAATATTTTAATGTGGAGTTTAGCCGGAACAGCCTGTATAATGTATCGAGCGATCAAGATAATTTGTAATCGAGTCATCTTTGGATCCGAAAACGTATGTCTGTGAAACGTCAAATAAAATGTCAAGTAATTTCAGCGCATATTGCCGTTTTACCTTTAGACTTGTCATTTTATTTTAAAAACAGACATACGTTTTCGGATCGAAAGATGACTCGATTACAAATTATCTTGATCTCTCGATATTTGAGTCAGGTTTAAAATCCGTAACCCTCAAAACACCTATTTTTTATTAACTTAAAATTATGAATTGCATACAAAGTGCTTCATATAATTTTACGAAACATACGCCTGTAAAATACAATCAGCAATATACAGGGTGATTCTTGTCAACTGCCAATGGAGCTACAACTTTTCAATTTTGTAAACTACCAAAATCGATCATCATCATATGAATGACCTTGCGAAAGTACGAGAAATTTTCCCCAACTTTGAAACTTTAAAAAGAAACTATCCATTTTCATAGCAATTTTGAATTCACCTTCTCAAACTGAGTAAAACGTACCCATGTTGTTATTTGTCAAAATTTTTATTTGCGTGAGTATCTACACTTTGCGTTAAGTGAATATTTTTTTTTTCCATTTGATAACTGAAGGTTCGAAGAATCTTGTAAGATTGTTCAAAATTGTCAAATATCTAATTTCAAAGCCAGTACGATTTTTAGAAAATAGTGATCTAAAAACTGCTATAACTCATTTTTTCAAAAAGAATGACCCTTTTTTTTCAACCGCAAATAAAAGAACATTTTTATGGTGGTGGGGTTGATCACCTCCCCTCCAACCCTATGGACTAATAGTAAAGTTTATCAGGGTGATTTTTAAAAAAATGAAGCATTTTAGAAAAATAAACAAAAATTAGAAAATCCTGAAACAGGTTATAGTTCTTATTTACAGAGGGACACCTTTTATGTACTTTTGAAATTTGTAGTGCCTACCTCTTTGATATTATAGATAATCCTTTCAAAATTGTAAACGGCACCACCCTTTTTGATGAAATGTAGTTTGAACAGGAATCCGGCTATGTATTTTTTTGAGTTTTAATTGTTTTTTGTAAGGTTACATAGTGCTCAATTACTGGTAACACTAATGTAGTATGAAATGCACAAAACAAAGTTGAAGCTTTATTTTTAAAGTAAAATTAAACTGACATTTTCTGTTATAAAAATTTTGCACTCCGTAAGCAATTCACAAAATGGTCATGTGTCTAGATTTTGTTCTCCGTAACATAAATAAAAAATACTCAAAATTTAAACAAAACACAGTCGAACTCCTGGTCAAAATACCTTTCATTTGAGGCATCACAAAGGTGGTGGTGCCACTTAAAATTTTGAAGGGGTTATTTGTAGTACAAAGAGGGTAGATGCTACAACTTTTAAAAGTATACTAAAAGGTGTGCTGTAAATAAAAATTGATTTTCTAATTTTTCATTTTGTTAAAGCCCCCTCGCCCCCCCCCAGCCTTTTTCTAGATCTGCCCTTAGTCAACTGAATCTACAATTTTTTTTTTTAGGCCATAATTATGTTTTTTTAGTTTTAATGTCACATAGAGCACAGAGTAAACAAAACGGCAATTAACTGTGCGAATACTTTCCGGAAAACAGGTTGTGTATCAACTTTGTTATCTACAATGGCCCTAGTTTTTTTAAGCTTGGTTTGTTTCGTCCGGATTAACCGGAACTTCGGAATAGCGAGATTATTGTAATTTGGAATAAATTTGATTAAAAATATTGAAAAATATTGCTTGTATTGTGTCAATATCCTTAAAAATAGTAATTAATAATACACACTTCCCTTTCGTACTTTTAAATCATCCGTTTAATACCATTTTGTTCAATATTCTACAGAGTGGAAGCAAATAAATGAACTCTCAGATTAAAAAAAAAAACATAATTCGTGAATTTTTTTGAGCATTCCCAAGCCTTTTTGACCAATAAAACTTGGCCATTTTGTATAGTTTAGATTGAATTATTGTTTTATCCTCTTTTAGAGAGATTTTGCAATATTTTTTGAGTAGAGTGTTCAAAATATCCTAGAATGTGCAACAAAAAAAAGATGAACGATGATAACATGTTTTTAAATAATAATTGGAACATTCAAGTTTTGTATTAATAATTGTTGTATTTATTAGGAGTACAATTTTAAAAACAATAATTTGCAAAAAATTTAAGCAATAAAAATAGGGCACGAAAAAAAAAGTAATTTTTCAAATAAATGTGGCCGTCGTCTGTCTGTAATATGGTTAATTACCTAGGAACCTAGGTAGTGACTTTTTTACTCAAAAATATTCAAACAAAAATTTAAGGGGAATGATTTGAATCACGTACAGAGTGATTTGTTTATTTTTTGACGGAGTGGTATATTTGCAAAAAGTTTGGCAATGAAATACAAGCTGTCCGGAAAGTCGCGCACCTCCATGACACTGTATCACCGGGCAATACCCTAGACAACAAGAAAAATACTTTAAAAAAATGAAAATTTCGAAATTATGAGTTTAAATTTTGCTCTTTCGACTCTATTTCTGTTGGAAAAAAAATTTTTCCAAGTTTTTTTGCTACAGACTATTAGAAGAGCAAACATCCTAAATTGTAACTCTCCTAAATTTTTTGACAGGTAGAATTTTTTAAACATTTTTTAGTACTTGGGGTCTACCCACTTACTACCTTTCAAGAAGGTGCGTGACTTTCCGGACATTCTGTATCGAAAGAAATATATTTTTTGAATTCTTTCCTTTCTCATAGCTGTGTTAGGTTTCTTTCTAAACTTATCTGTAGATCAAAATTTTAATTTCAAAATAGCGTAGTCTCTCTCGTTCAAAATAACCCAAAAATTTGAATGTGTGGCGCAAGAAAATTTCGAAAAAAATGACTTAATCTCCCTCCGAGCAACGAAAACAAATCGTGTTGTTGTTGCGGCAAGAATCGGATAATCGGTCCGACCTTTGCCAGTTCAGAGGTAACAGGCCGCAGCTTGGCCTTAAATATCAAAATCGTGCCAGCAATCGTCTGACTTTTCGGGTCTGCAGGACCGTCTCTAGTGTTCGTTTCACAACTCACGTGGGAGGAGGTTTAAGTCTTTTGAGAGAAATAAATAATTCAGTGGCAGGAGCGAGTGTTTTTCTTGCTAAATAGCCGATTAACAATTGTGTAAGTTGAGGATTACAACCTGGCGATCTGAACTCGTCCTTCATGGATTGTTGACATAACTGAACTCGTGAAAGTTGTGATTTGAATAGAAAAACTTTTAATTTAATTTTTTTTGTTTTTGTGTAACATGAGCGAAGAGTCTGTTCGTGCTGACCCGTGGCCAGACCTTCGGGTCAGAGGTGGTAGTTCAAGGAATACTCGCACACATTCAGAATCGTGCTTTTTAACCTGCTTACGCTTAACCCTCCACATAGTTCACCAATGTCAACACCGTCAATGCACTTTGTATTGTAATCAACTAGACGAAAAACAATCATTCTCGAAGAGCCAGTGGCGCCCGCATTCGGATTATCTCTCGCACTGTTTTACTGTTGACTATTTCTAATATTTATGCTAATGGTTGTACGTGTTAGTTTGCATTAAATAACGCGCGCCCGTTATCTGTGCAAGAGCAACGTGGTTTGAACCATTTTTACGCAATTTAATTGAATGTAATGCCAGGAGAACGAGATTTTTAGCGGGGCGCATACTTTTATATTGTGTTATGTAAGCTGGACTTCCGTATTGCATAATCAGAGAAGAATTGGAAACAGCATTCTACATACAGCGTGACACGAGTTTCTTCCGTCACCAAGAATATCACCACAAGTTCAATAAAAAACCTAAATTTTCTTCTTTTGAAATGTTTTTTTTTACACAAAAACTATAGACGACCTTGACTTATACAGGGTAACTCGAGTTTTTTTCGTCACCAAGAATATCACCACAATAAAAAAACAAATTCATTTTCTTCTCTTTGAAATGTTTTTCTTTTACACAAAAACCATAGACAGGGTGATCTACATAAGTCTACGACCTTGACTTATACATCATTTATGGAAATTTATGGAACGTTGTTAAGTTTTTTATCACGAAGGGTATCAAATCAAGTGTATAACTGGTTGCATTCAAAGTTTTTTACGGTTGCAAAGTTATGTGAATCACCCTGTATTTTTCACCTATTTCATCACAAAAATACAGCTGCAATGTTGCCATTTCTTATAATGTTTTTTTATGTTTGTGTTAAAAATAAAATAATTACTACAATCACTAAAATTATTCCCATATTGTTTATTTTTTGTTTTACGTCTACATTTGAAATTATATAAAAAACTAAAAAAAAAATTACTTATAAAATGATTTACAGAAATGTAAAAACTTACAAATATTGAAAAACTGTAATAAACCTACAAATTAGGTATTTCAAAAAAATTAAAAAGGAAAAGTGTGGAAATGGAAGAAAAAAAGAACAATAGTGAATGACTCGTGTAACCTATTAATAGAAAAAAAAAAAATTAATGTAATAAATAAAACTTAGATTCTAAAAAAATTAAAACTTAAAAAGTTTTCTAAACACTTAAAAAAGTATCTTAAAAACATCTTAGAG